CTTTGCACAAGTGACTTCAGTTTGTAAAACGGGGTAATAATAGTTCCGAAGTCATAAGGTTGTTATGAGGATTCAATGAATTTATATATATGTATATAAATTAAATGAATTTAAAATGAATTTATATACATACACACACATACATATATCAAGCACTTAAAATAGCGGCTGGCACGTGGCAAACACAGGCAGTGCTGGCGGGTACCGGCTGAGTCAGGACTCCAGCTACTGGCCCTGAAAGGCAGCCTGATCGATACGGGAAATGGCCCTGAAAGGCAGCCTGATCGATGTGGGTACGTGTGGGAGGACTCTCCAGGCCATGCGGCCCCAAGCTGGGCTCCGGAAGAACGAGACGAGCGGGAACATCCCATCACTCCATCTCCCCCGGAGGATACAAACTCCATTTCATAAAAACTGCGGGACGGAAGTGTCCAATGGAGTTAAGAAAGTGAAGAAGCGTATCAGAAAACAGCTGAGCGGCGACAGAGGCGGGGAAAGGCCGCTGTCGCTCCGCCTGAGGAGGGGCCACAACGGCGGAGACGTCAGCGGGAAGCCCAAACGGGTCGTGTGCAGGGACACAGAGCGAGGCCCGCGTGGTCAGAGGCCACGGGAAGCCCATGCCGAGCCCACCTCGGCACGGAGCCCACGGGCCGCGCTCAGGGCCCGAGTGCCGTCGGGTTTCCCGTCACACCCCCACCTGCCGGCCAACACGGAGCCGCGGGTCTAATTTTAGACTCAGCAACCGTGACAGCTTTTTTTTTTCTCTTTCAAACAAACTGTCCATATTTCATCTCGGTGCAGTGGTGAGACGCTCCGCTCCCATTCCTGGCAAAGGAGGGGGGTGAAAGTAATTATGGGACCTTTTTTCTCTGACGTCCCCTGCCCCCAGATTACCTCATTTAGTTAGAACGCCTGCCTCAAGGGCCTCTCTACATCCATGTCAAGAGCTAAGAAAACATAGGTTTCCTGGAGTCTGGATCGCAGCTTTCATCATATCATCCCCTGCTCGGAAACCTTCATCTGGCTGCTTGTTGCTAAAAAAGACAAAACGCATAATCCATATCTAACCTGGGAGCCAAAGCTCTCTACTATTCGCAATAAATCCATTCTTTAGGAAAGTCCATATTGCTGCCAACCACTTTGCTCAGGTATCAAGTCGGTGACACCTGGTTCACACCCTGGCTCCGCAACTCACCGACTGTACCACCTTGAACGAGTTGTTTAACCTGAGCTTCGAAACACTGCAGGGGAAGGGTCTAGCTTTGACCTTGACACAGCAGGTGTCAGTGAATGTGGGCCTGCTGTGTCAGTAACCTGAGAGTATTCTGGACAGGACGAGAAATGTAACAAACCAAATAAAGAAGAAAAGTGTAACTGGTCATACGTCTCTACAGAGGAATCTAGTACTATGTATAAAAATATAAAATGCACATAACCTTTGACCCAGAAACCTCACTTTGCTCCATCCACCTTAAAAGGTCATTGGGGAAATATGTAATCATAGGGGTTTATCATAGCATGGTTTGGAATAGCCAAAAATTCAGAAACAACCTAAATGCCTTTAGGAATGGGCCAAGAAAATCATGTAAACTAGCGCTAGGTCATGAAAATTGTTTCTCTTTTTTTCCAGAACTGTTTGATATTTTTTTACAAGACACATGTATCATTTTTTCCAGAACCAGAGGGAAGATTTAAAAAGTAATTTTTAAGAAATACACAAAGGGGAAAAGTCTGGAAGGATGTTTTCCCTGGATTCTCGGGGCCAATTATTCTGTATCTTACTGATGGAGGTCTGGTTCGCTTTTTAGGCTGGTAAATAGCCAGGATGGCTGAGAAAACTGAGGCTGAAACAAAATATGAAGTGAAAGACTTCTGTGGTTTTTGCATAAAATGAGACAATTCTGTCCTTTCGCTAAATCTGTATACAAAAAAAAAAAAAAGCTCTATTCCCTGGCTATACTTAATCCCAAACATCTAAGTTCTATGTGAGGGCTCTTGCCAGGAGGGAGACTGAAAAAATTTAAAAAAACAACTAGTGGGTCGCTCAAAGCAAGCCCATCTCAGATGCTATTAAGACTTGGCATTCCCACTCACTCAATGCACGGCGTTCTAGAATTATCACTATAGGACTACAATTATGGGAGCCGTAATGATTTGGACAAGTGATAGAGCTTTAGAATGGATTTAAGATTTTTGGTCTTTAGTTATTTGGATTTGAGGGCCTTAGTATTTCCATTAAAATGATCAGTACATAATACAAAAATTCAAACCATACAAAATAATACCGAAAAACACAGTAAGCTGTCCTCTGAAATCATACTTCACAGCGACAATCATCATTAACATTTGGGCCTTGTTATATTTTGCTTCTATTTTTAAACCTATCTCAAAGGAACTAATCATTTCTAACTCATTATATTGGCAAAATTTAACAGTACGTTAAGTGCCAGCAATATTGCAGGGAAATAAACTCTTACATACTGTTGATGGGAGTGTAACTTAATGTATTAACACATTGGGGGAAATGTGACAAAATCTACATAAATTAAAAATGTACATGTCCTAAGAACCAGCCAGCTATACAGTTTGTTTGTTTTTTAATTGATTTCAGAGAGAGGATGGAAGACAGAGAGAGAGAGAGAGAGAGAAACATCAGTGGTGAGAGAGAATCACCCATCAGCTGCCTCCTGCACCCCCCTTACTGGGGATTGAGCCCGAAACCCGGGCATGTGCCCCAACTGGGAATCAAACCGTGACCTCCTGGTTCATGGGTCGATGCTCAACTGCTGAGCCACACCAGCAGGGCCAGCTTTCTTGTATTGAGATATAATTCACAGACCATAAAATTCACCCAATGGTTTTAGTATATACACAGAATTGTTCAACCACTAACAGTTCCAGAACATTTTCATCCCCCCAAAAAAGAAACTCCATACCCACTCACAGTCACTCCCCACTCCCTTTTCCTCCTTGCCCAGAGTAGAAATCTTTCTGTCCCTATGGATTTGCCTATTCTGGACATTTCAAATAAACGGACTCATACAATACGTGGCCTTTTGTAACTGGCTTCTTTCACTTGGCATAACGTTTTCCAGCTTCGTCCGTGCTGTGACAGGAACCTTACTCCATTTCTTTTTACGGCGGAATAAAAAGAATGTATGGATCTCTCACGTGTGTTTCTGTTTCATCAGCTGATGGACATCTGGCTTGTTTTCCCATTCTGCCTATTGTGAATAATGGTGCTAAGTAGTGGTGCTCTGAACGTTCCCGGACAGGTTTTTGTGTGGACATACAAAACACAGTGTAGAGCTGCTGGGTCAAGCGGGAACGTTCCGTTTGACTCTTCGAGGCACTGACAAGCTGCTCTCCAGGGCGGCCGCACGATTTACATTCCCACCGGCAGTTGGTGCTGGTCCCAATCTGTCCCCACCCCCTGCAGCACTGGTATTGCGTCTTTTCCATCACAGCCACACAGCAGGGTTGAAGTGACAGCTCACTGTGGTTTTGATTTCCACCTTCCTAACGACTGCTGATGTTGGGCATATTGTTGTGTGCTTACTGGTCATCTGTATATGTTTTTGGAAACTATCTACTCAAAATTTCGCCCATCTTTTCTTTGGGTTGTCTTTTTATTATTAAGTTGTAACAGTCCTTTATATATTCTAGATACTAGACCCTTATCTGATATACGGTTTGCAAATATTTTCTCCCATTCTCTGGATTGGTTTTTTTCATCTTCTTGACAGTGGCCTTCGAAGCATAAAAGTTTTTAATTTTGATGCAATCAATGTTACCTACTTTTGTTTTTGNGTTGTAACAGTCCTTTATATATTCTAGATACTAGACCCTTATCTGATATATGGTTTGCAAATCTTTTCTCCCATTCTCTGGATTGGTTTTTTTTCATCTTCTTGACAGTAGCCTTCGAAGCATAGAAGTTTTTAATTTTGATGCAATCAATGTTACCTACTTTTGTTTTTGTTGTTTGGGCTTTTGGTGTCATATCTAAGAAACCACTGCCTAATAGAAGATCACAAAGATTCACACCTATGTTTTCTCCTAAGAGTTTTATAGTCTTAACCCTTTCATTTAGGGCTTTCATCCATTTTGAGTTAATTTTGTATTTGGTGTGAGGCAGAGGTCCGGCTTCATTCTTTTGTTTGTCAATGCCCAATTGTGCCAGCACCATTTGTTGAAAAGAATATTCTTTCCCCGTTGAATTGCCTTGGCATATAACTTTTAAAACTATACCTAAAATGGTCTAGAGCTTGATTGTGGCAGTGGTTACACATCTGCATATATGTTTGTCAAAACTCAAAACTGTACACTAAGAACAAATTTTATTACATTTAAATAATATCTCAATTATCCTGAGAATTAAAAATTCTCCTTTAGAGAAACATTCACATACAGCATTTACAAGGGTCATATGCCTTACCAACACTGTGGTACTGTTTGTAATCAAAGAAATTGGAAACCACCAGAACGTCTGTCAAAAAGGAAAAAGCTAAACAGAATATAGGAATACGCTATATTTTATATATGTATAGGGGATAAAGTTTAGAAACAGTCCATTAAGCAGGAAAGGTAAGGGGGCAATGGTTCACACAGAATGAAAGTATGTATGTAACAAAAGATATACAAAACCATACTATACAGCCTCTGTGAGCACACATGTAAGTACCTCAAGGTATCTTAAAATCTAGAAAAATGCTCAGCACAGTGATGACACCAACTGCCTCTGGAGAATGTGAAAGACACCAGGATTGAACAGGGGGGCCAGAAAGGGGCTGAGCTCTGTCATTTTCCCTCCAAAGGGAAATCTATTCATTAATTACTTGTGTGATGAAAAATTAATAATGTGTACCTACTGTGAGTTATAAACAGAGATTATAAGTATGAAACCATAGCTTTTCAATACATGTGCTCACCTGGGAGGCCTTGCACCCAGCCCCCACGTCCACACACACATGCCCAAACACACGCACAGGTGATCTTACCAATTTGGATTCTCCATGCTTTCCCGGAAGACGGACTCTTCCTTCATGGATGCATACTGTGTCCACGTAAGGCAGTGACTCTGTATGGCCATGCTTCTTTCCTGAGGATTGAGCCACGATTCCTCTTCTAACTGGATATTGGGTACCTTTAAAATGCTCACCTGTCCAACAGAGGGAGGATGGCTTTCTCAATTTAGGAAGAGCAGGCTGCACAAGGATTGTGCCCAGAACTGCTTTCGGTCTTAGATAATTAAGGGGACAAGTGATCCTGATATGTGGATGGTGGCTCCCCAATGGCTGTAAGTCCTCGATAATCAAACATACTACGACCTTACTAAATGCTGGTGAGGACGTGCGAATGGCCCAGGATTTATGCAGGCTGTACAGCCCCCGGCCTGATTTCCCTAACTGCTAAACACCAAGCAAATTATCAGCCTCCTTCGCGTCTCCTCCAGGGCTGGTTATGGCCTTCTTAAACTGATGGATTCGAATTGGGCCCACTTACGGGCTCACGTGCGGGACGATACCGGGTAAAATATTTTCTTCATTTTAAACTCTGTTCAATACCTAGAAATGCATTCTTTCCTAGGTGGAAGAGACATGGAAAACTACAAAGGCAGAATTGTACAAGTCAGAGGTGGCCTTAAATTATTTAAGAATTGAGATACAACACAAAGTTGAATGCCTTTTTAATAATAGATTCAAGCATGTATATAGGGCAATGGCAGGCAGGGTACATACTCTGGGGAAAGAGTCAGTAATAATTTGCTGCACATATTGCAACACCTTTTACCACCTGGAAAATAAAAGAAAGTTCATTTTCATCTTCATGTCACACTTCTTTCCACTAAAGAATGTGACGGAGTCTTAATCCACCGTAAGGAAGTGCTAGAAGCTGCCATCTTCTCTACAACAACACAGCAAAGACATTTTTGAGCCCGTTGGCAGGAGCCCAGCGGGTTCCACGTCACACACAGAACCACTTCTGGGTTGAAACATCCATCTGAGACATTTTTTAAAGTGTGAATCAGGATGTTCTCCTCTTTTTTCCTAACGATTCTAAAAAGGCTCTTGTCACTACTTTCTCTACGGTTCAAGCAATGTGATTAAAAATTTCCACTTACCCTTTTTTCCAACAATCACCAGTGTGCTGAAGGATTTCAAAGAGAGAAAACAGTTTGCTATCATGACGATTTCCATCATCAATGCCATCACTTTACAGAAACATACACAAAAAGGCTTACAGAGAGCACTGGGAACATTATACTCCCCGAAATAACGGTTCTCTCCGGCAGGGAAATAGAAACTGAAGCTTTTACCTCCCTTACAAATATCTGTCTAAATATCCACCGTCTGCCCACCTCTGGTCATTCTTACCTAAGAGTCATATCTAACCGTGACCAGATAAGGAAAGATGGTCACTTGATGTCCAGCGTCCAAGGTATCTTTAAAATAACTGTAGACCAGCTCTATGTCCACTAAGAGTCCTCCACAAAAGAGACAGAACCAGACAGGAAAAAACTGTCTCTGGTGGCATCTGCCAAAACTGAGGTTGGCCCTGGCTGGTGTGGCTCAGTCCCGTGTGCTGAAAGGTTGCTGGTTCAATTCCCAGTCAGGGCACATGCCCGGACTGTAGGCTCGATCTCCAGTAGGGGGCGTGCAGGAGGCGGCTATGGGTGTTTCATTCTTACATCAATGTTTCTCTCTCTCCCTCTCTCCCTTCCTCTCTCTCTAGAAATCAATTTTTTAAAAAGCTTAAAAAAAAGCATTAGTTCTCACACCTGTCCTCAGGCTAGTTTTCTAGGGCACTGAAAATGGTTCTAGAAAGCGGGCCCTCAGGGGTTCATAAAAAGGGGAAAAAAACTGAGGTTGGATATAACAGACCTTTCTTCCTCTGCAAGGCTATGAGGTAAGAGAGCTGGGAAAGTTCTACCACTCCTTCCCATCAGAAGATGCTCTTTTCATGACTCTCAGAAAATTACCCAATGTTACACCACAGCTGGTAAAATTTTGAAATGAAGTTACCTTCCTTAAAATTTCTGGAACCACATTCTGACAGATTGCAATCCTCTTTCTATAGATGATCCCTGTTGACGCATCTAGAAATAGAAAATTTTTACACTCAAAAAAATATTTAAGGAAATGTACTCTTGTCTTAAGGTCAAGAAAACTTTGAATGTCAATCTCAATTTTCTGTGCGTAAAATTCCTCAGAAAATGTTTAACTCAAAATGTAGTGTCTCTGACCACTTTTCTGGGCCAAATTACTCCAGATACACTTATCTGTGATCAAGGAATATGTGTAAAGCACTCACAAGTACACATCCTAAAGTCAAGGATAAAAGAATCGCAAATTGCTCACTGCTATGAACTATCAATGTCAACACTCCAATGACAATGGCCAATGAACCTCCTGCTCAACTCCAACAAAGAGAATGTTTTAACAAAAATAAATGGAGAATTTGATTCTGCTGCCTTCTGCACCAAACAGGTTTTCAAGCCCAGATTTCTAGCTATGAAATTTAAACATAATTAATTATATTAGGCATACTTTTCTCTTATAGGGAAGCAGACTCCCTGTGACTTGAACTACTGTTTTGAAAGGAAGTTTCCAGAATAGCACCAGGAATATATTTTTAAAATGACAACAAGCACACACACACACACAAAAAAAAACACTCAATAAATGTGAGTTAAGAAAAAGGGAGACCAAGTAAGAGAAAAAGACAAACTTAAAGTGTTGTCGTTTGCTGTGTGAGTTACTGTGACTCGGCCACACTCCTACAAGGTTTCTCACAGCTCTGGCTCTAGGAGCCCTGACCCTTGCTGCAAACAAGCTTCTGACTGTTCAGAAGCTGCTTGTCTTCTCTGCCGATCGGCACGCCTCTGGGCACCGCATCCAATGTTTGCAGCACGTACTGAAAATGGATTAGCCGCTCCTGCAGGCAAAGATGCCCTTGTCGCTGCTGGAAATTATAATTAACGTTCCCATGCCACTCTGGAATATGCACATTGTTCTCTTATTCGATCTTCACAACCACCTAAAAGCAGGTTTATTACTTTCCCACTGAACAGATGAAGAAACTGAGCCTCCGAGAAGTTAGGTTATACAGATAGGAACAAAATCAGGACTTGAAATTAGATTCCTCTGATGTCAAATAACAAGTTTCTCCCACGCTGAGTGCAGGTATCTGAGAAAATGGTTTTTTTAAATGTATTTATAAGCGTAATAGAAGTACAGAAAACAACCTCACAAGCAAAAGACAGTTTTCTGTTCACCCAGCACAGAGAAGGCCTCGGAGTCATGTCGCTCACTGGGAAGGCTTAGGAACATGTGAGACCGGGCGCTGGGCGTCTCCAAAGGTTTAGACGTGGATTACGCCCATCGTTACAGTTCCCTGCACTGCTCGGTTCTCAAGTTCAAATACTGTCAGAGAAAATGCTTCCGCAGGACATGTGAGTGACGGGACAGTAAAGACTCCAACACTCCAGGCCAGCGGTCGGTAAACATTTTCTTTAAAGGGCCAGCTGGTAAATATTTTAGGTTTTGTGAGCCATATAGTCCCTGTTGCAGCAGCTCAACTCTGCTGCTGTCACAAGGAAGCAGCCCCAGGTAAAATATAAACAAACGGGCATGGCTGAGTGCCAATAAAACTTTATTTACAACAGGCCACACAAGCATAAATTATCAACCCCTGCTCTGGCCAATACTGAACCACGTTAAGTAGAGTTATGACCTCACAATCTAATCACTTTACAGTCACATCTCACACACATGCTATTAACCACATCCATTTATCTATAAAATGATACATAAATATGTTATAGGGGTAGGGCCATGTGACCTTGGACCGGTTATTTCTCTTTCTGCCTCGGTTTCTTGGGTCATTAAATAGGAGTAATCATCATACCTACCCCACAGACTGTTCTGAAGATTAAACGAGTTAATAAAACAAACTGTGCCTGGCACATATTAAGTGTTGAAAAATGTTAGCTGTTATCACTGTCATCAAGGATTAACTGAGAAAGTGGCAAGGGAATAGGAGGCCAGCCTTCGACTGCTGTAAATGTTGGGCGCTCTTTTCTATTAGTCACTTCAAATACAGAAACAGACCAGTTTGAAACAAAACAGGCCACACACACACCAGCCACAAACACACATCTTTACAAAAATCAGTATCATCTAATGCTCATCACTGAAGGGAGGTGAATTCAGGGAACCTACCTCTTTTTTCCTCCACGGTTTGTACCGAGACGACATTTTTATCCATGGGGTTGGGATACTAAAAGAAAGCAAATAGAGAAGAATTACCGTCCATCTTCCACCAAGTGAGCTATCCCATGGTAGCCACGGTTATGTGCAGGAACAGGAAACATTTTCCAAGCACTGCCTAAGGCCCGTTTTCAATCAAGGGTCTTAATTTTACTATTTCAGCCTAGGTAAGTGAGATGCTATCATCAGCTGGGCCTGCATGAAATCTAGGAGGAACCTTCCTTTGCCCCAACCTAGCCCTCCATGCAGAGGGGCAGGTTAGGTTAAGCTACCCAATAACTAATACTATTAATACTGAGCCAGCCTTATTAAATCAAGAGTGTTTTTGTGCCAGGCACTCTGCTAAATGCTTTACTTGCACAGTCTTACTGAAGTCTCGTAACAGCCTCTTTGTTGTGACTGGGCTGTGTGATATTACTCCATCTCTCAGAAATGGTCAGAGAGCGGGGGGTCACCCAGCCAGTGAGTGGGAGAGCCGGGAAATTAAACCACGGCTAAGACAGAGGGAACCCCTTCACTACTGTCTTACACCACTGCCTGGAGCTGGGTTAGCATCACAGGAGTATGATCCTACAAGTAGTCTGCGCCAGGTCCTCAATAAACAGTTAATTTATTGACTAAATTCCCCTGAAAGACAATTTGGATATAATAAGGCTGACAGTAGCTACCATTTTTGGCCTAGGCAGTGTATATACATTATATCAGTTTAATTCTCAAAACTATCCCGTGAGACATATGCTATTTTTCCCCTTTCACATGTGAGAAATGAGGCTCAGAAAAAGTAAGTAATTTGCTCAAAATCAGCCGGCTAATGATCACCGAGAGTGTAATTTACCCACAGATGCTCTCTGCTGCCTTCAAAGTCTGTCCACCTAAACTACAGGTAAGTCAGTTACTCAGATCCAACCCTTTCCATCTGTTCAGATGCACAAAGAAAGAACTTAGGGAGCAGAACTGACTTCCTCAAAGCCACAGGACAGGGTGGCTGCTGACTCAGGCCTGCTGAGCACCCCGTGGGCTCTTTTCCCAGAAGTTTACTGCTTCATCATGTGATCAAATCTGAAAAGAAAATTACAGGAAGTCTTACCCAAGTCATCATAAGGTGCTAAGGGGGAGATGAGAGCAGCAAAGAGGATGGGGGGGGCAAAGGAAGGCCCTCCACTTGGCAAATTTGAGCTGTAAGTCTTCTGAACCCCAGGAAATAGTATGTGAAACTCAGTGCGTGTGGGTCCCCTCAACCCTGTATAGCAGCGTGTGTGTGTGTGTGTGTGTGTGTGTGAACTAGAACTTTCATCCTAGGTAAAATGAGAATATTTCCATTACTGCAGCCCCAGTTTGCTCAGTACATCCTGACTGAATACTGTAAATGTGACGTAGGTTGTAGGAAGATTACTGAACTAAATTACGAAAGAGGTTGGATGTGTAATCACCAGAGAAGGGCAGTGGTCAATGTTTTCAGTTCTTATTACTTCACTTAGTTATCAGTGAAATTCCTAAAGAGTATAATAAACTCAGTTCACACTTTTACATAATTGTTATATTTGTTTACCAAGTCAAAGGGCATCAGTTTAAATAATAGTGAATATTCTTCATTCAACAGTTTTTTGAGTAACTATCATGCCAGGCACTGTTCCAGGCACTGAGAATATAATAATAAAACCAACAAAATTGTAGCCATTTAGAGAGTTTACACTGTTAGTTGAGATATATATATATGTATCTGTGTATGTGTGTGTGTGTATATATATATATATGTCAGACTAAGGAGTAATAGGGGGATGAAAATTGTCAAGAGAGGCGGCTATAAAATAAATTCTTAGGGGGTCACCCATCAGACAATGCTTGTAAATAACAAAAGTAAAATGGAAGTTTTATTAATCAAACACAAGAGATCCCGAACTATTCATTCCAATAAAGTCATCTGCAAGATTCAAGTCATTTTCCTATGCAACTACTTTTGGAGTTGGAGAGACATGAGCCTCAGGTTTCCATGGGAGAACAGGAAAAGAAACCAGGGGTTTGTTTACAGTAGCTAAATACGACAACATAAAAGGCACGTGTTAGAGCTTGTTTAAAAGGATTTATTGTGCTGAGGCTCCCCCTACCTGGCATTACTTGAAATGATCTGACATCACCTTGTGGTAACTTGAATATTCATGATTTAATTCACAAAAATTTATCTGAAGTCAGGTAATAAGGGGTTGAGAGAGGGTCACCTGCTCAGAGAGGGTCACCACCAGTAACGCCAATTTGGGAAGACAGGAAGCAGCTGACCAGGTTTTTCCTTTCCAAGCAGTGTGGCAGTGGAATGGACCAAGCTCGGTCAGGCTCAGCCCACGGAAGACTTACTGAGCATTTACTGCGCCCATGCAGGGTGCTGCATTGAGACGACCCTATGTATTATCTCATTTAGTCACCTCCGAAACCAGTAAACCTATTAACGATTGTTAAGATAAGGAGTCTTTGTGTTAAAAACGCGCTGGCGTAAAGCCAGCAAGCAGGGGCGCGCTGGGATTTTCCAGTCCCCTCTCCACACTAGAAACTCTCATGAAAGCACAGTGGTCTGATGACCCAGATACCTTCCCGAAACCCTCGCCACCCTTGGACCTGGCCCAGTGGACCACAGACTGCAGTGGCATAAGAATGACTGAGTGGGACGTGCACATTCACCATGCACGCATGGGTAATGGCCTTTTTAAGGTATATTTGACTTCATTTTGAACTCAGCATTTTTACTTTCTTCACAGAATGCATTAACTAACTCCTTTCCCCAAGAACCTGATCTATTGCAAATAATCACCGTATACATTATACGTATGTAACAGTCTAACAAGGGCAAAATGTAGACTCTTCTGCATTTTCATATACCTTGCTTTCATTTATTTTTTACATATTAAAATGTAAGAGGCCAAAAACGTGCAAAATACTGGGTAAAAAAAAAAATATACATGAAATAAACATATAGCTAGAAAAGTGAGAGGCCAAGAAATTGAGTCCACCTAATTACAGGAATAACACTCAATACATCTGTAGGGGGAGCTTCATAAAATATGGTATTTACCTTTTTTACAGGAGAGAGAAAAATATATATATGTGTGTGTGTCTTCATAAAGCCTACCCTTAGGATAGTAAGAAGTTAGTAAAATATCAACTTTCCAAAGAGCTTAGAAGTCAATGCCTGCCTTTTATAACACACTCCTTACCCCTCCCCCTGTAAAAAAAAAAAAACAAGAGGGCTGATGACCTCAAAAGAGTCATTGTTTACCAACTTCCAAATGGCATGATCCAGGAAGCAGATGAGCTGCCGGATCCGTATGATTAATCCTGAAAGATGACTAAAAGAAGCCTGGTATATTAACATACCTGTTTTATAAACACTAAAGAAATCTTTGCTACCCAAGCTGCTTCCAAACATGTACATGGAGCTGCTGAAAAGAGATCCGGTGCGTAGCTACACAAAGAAATCACCATGGGCTATGCCAAATTCCCCTTATGAGCCGCATGCAATAGTTTATCTTAAGGAAAAGCAAAGTTAATTTTATACCAATATCAAAGGGGTCACTGATTAAACAAAATTCCAATGATTAAAAAACTAACCTTGTTTATGTCGATAGATATTTTGAATTGGCCTTTCAGGCCAGCGGGATGATGAAGTAGAAAGAACAAAGGACCAGGAGTCAAGACATGCAGACCACGATGCTGCCGTCTGTGAAGCCAGGGTGGGGACCACCAGATGATCCTCAAAGGCCCTCTGGCTGGGAAGTTACGCTAAACAGAGGCCAACCACTGTCACATCACCCTCATTCATTCCAAAATGTCCTAATAATTAGCAAGGACATAATGACTGAAGTTCTTTGAAAGGAATAGTTTTTAATGGTGACACAAAGGAAAATCCTCTATCTCAACATTACATGCATACATAACCCCAAATGCACTAAGATACAATCAAAGTCTCCAGAACAACTGGCCAGTACTCTTTGAAAGTGCCATGGTCCGGAAAGACAAAGATTAATGAACTCTCCCACGCTGGAGGAGACTAAGACAGGATAACGAAAGGCAAGGTGGGATCTTGGATTGGTTCCTATTCTGGAAAAACAAAATTAGTGGACACCTGCCAAATTCTGAATAAGTTCTGTAGATTAGTTAACATTGTACCAATGTTATCTCCATGGTTCTAAAAATTATACAGTGGTTTGGAGAAGCTGGGTAAAGAGTGTACTGGAATTCTCTGCTGTTTTTGCAACATTTGATACATCAAATTATCTCTAAATTAAAAGTTAGGAAATAAAAAACAAAATTTAAAAAGCACACAGTGTTGAAACAGTTTAGAACTCAAGAGATCTCAGTTTGAAGCTCATCTGTGGGAGTCTTGGGCAAATCACTTTCATCTGAGTCTGCCTTAGTTTCTTCATCTGTAAAATTAGACAAAAATACCTGCTTCAAAGAGTTGTTATCGGGTAAAGTGTAACGCCTGGCACCATGCAGGTCCTCAATAAGCAGTGGCCCGTTCTGCTACTAATGAATGCATCCACATCTTTGAGATCTTGCAATTTCCTGTGTGGTGTGGTGTGAAGTATACTACTGGTATCCATCTGCCACCCAAGTGTATTTAAATGACGATTAGAAAACTATTGGAAGATATTTCTTCCATTACTAGACAAGTAAAACCTCACAAGCTCATGCTTTAGCAATTCAGAATTTGTATGAGATACACCAGGCCTCCCTGACACATCCCTCCCCACTAGCATTAGAGAGAGCACCGCATCCAGGAATGAGAGGACTAGCAAGAAGACTGACTTTTTGAAAAAGGCATCAAACTCTAAATATCCTAGAAGTTCTCATAGGTTTATAATTAAAATACAAACCATGCCTCACACTGTATGTCTGTGTTATGTCCCTGAAAAAGCCCTTATCACAAAAAATCCATATATTTCCCTCTGTCCCCTTGACCATGAGCTCCTTGAGGCCAGGGCGATGTTTTACTTTCCTTCACATCTCCCACGGCACACACTTAGTGTGAACGTCTATTAGTAGACATATAATGAATGTTTA